TTCCTTCGAACCAACTCAAAACCGGCTTTTATTCCACGCTATTCCTGGTACCGAAGAACTCGGGAGATTGGAGAGGCATTTTGAACCTTCGACGTCTCAATCAACACATCTTATACCGTCGGTTCAAAATGCATTCCCTCAAGTCTTTACTCGGCTGCATCCGGTGGGGGGACCTGATGCAATCAGTAGATCTGAAGGAGGCGTACCTGCACGTCCCCATTCACCTGCAGCACCGAAAGTACCTCAGGTTTGCGTTCGGAGACCACCACTTTCAATATCGGGCCATGCCATTCGGCCTGTCATCTGCTCCGAGGACATTTACAAAGTTGCTAGCAGCAGTCGCGGCGTCGCTCAGAGAGGTTCCTGTCCGCCTGGCATGCTACCTCGACGACATCTTGATCCTGTCGTCGTTGCCCGAGCAGGCGATCCAAGACCGGGAGCTAGTGGTTCACACCCTTCAAACCCACGGGTTCACTTTGAACTTTGCGAAAAGCCATCTGTCTCCCACGACTCGCATTCTACATCTCGGAGCAACGATAGATTCAGGTCAGTGTGTGGTCTTCCTATCTCCCGACAGACAAGTCAGCATAAGGAGCCTGGTGTCTCAAGTCTTACGCCACAGGTCTGTGACCTTACTCACTCTCTCCCAACTTCTGGGAAAATTAATATCATGCATAGACATTGTCCCTTGGGCGCGCTTCCATCTTCGTCGCCTCCAATGGTTTCTGCTCCCTTACCAGAGACAAGGTCGAGCAGAGTCTCTTCTCCAAGTAACAGTTCCGGCTCCAGTTCGCCTGTCCCTGAGGTGGTGGCTGTCTCCGGCCCTCAGCAAGGGCTCTCCCTTCCTGGAACCAGACCGGTTGGTGTTGACCACGGACGCAAGCCTCCGAGGCTGGGGGGCTCACCTCAACCTTCAGTTAGCCCAGGGAGTTTGGTCGTCGTCGGAACGGCGGCACAATATAAATTGGCTAGAGCTCAGAGCGGTCCGCCTCGCTCTCATACACTTCAAACACCTTGTTTATCGCCAGGACCTTCTGATTCTAACGGACAATGTGGCCACCAAGGCCCATATCAACAAACACGGGGGGACCCGATCCTGGACACTAATGCAGGAGGCGGAGCGTCTGCTATCGTGGGTGGAGCTCCACCTTTCGTCGATAAAAGCCGAACACATTTCAGGGTCTCTAAATCGAGAAGCAGATTGGCTCAGCAGAGACCAGATAGATCACGCCGAGTGGCGGTTGGACCCTTGCCTGTTCCAGGACATCTCCAGGAGGTTCGGTCTGCCCTTAGTGGACCTGTTTGTGACAGCGCACAACGCCCAATTGCCGAGGTTCTTTTCCCGCTACCCATGTCCAGCGGCGGAAGGTCTGGATGCTCTTCGGAGTCCATGGCCCCGGGGGCTCCTCTATGCCTTTCCTCCCCTTCCAGTCCTCTCCAAAGTCATTCGGAAGGTTATTCAAGAGCAGGCGAATCTTCTGCTGGTAGCACCCTATTGGCCTCGTTGGGAGTGGTTCGCCGACCTCAAGACTCTGTCAGTTGAACCACCATGGAGGATTCCACCCGACAAGCTTGTGTTAACTCAAGGGGCCGTCCGTCATCCGGAACCAGAATGGCTTCGATTAGCCGTGTGGCATTTGAGCGCATAAAGCTCTTCAAAGACAATTTGTCTGAAGAAGTCATCTCCATTATTCAAGCTGCTCGAAGGCCATCAACGATTCGTATTTACAACGCCTCTTGGGCTTCCTTCACAAGATGGTGCGGAGATCATCATGTGGACCCCACAACTGCGTCTGTTCCGGACATTCTACGATTTCTGCATGCGGGGTTCTCAAAGGGTTTGGCCCCTGCGACCTTACGCCGACAGGTGGCGGCTTTGGCCACTGTCCTGTCAGGGGAGGCCCGGGTTCCTTTGTCTCAGGATCCCAGAATTCGTTCTTTTCTCCAAGGGGTCTCAAACTTGCGACCGCCACCGATTCATCGCTACCCCACTTGGGACCTTACCTTAGTGTTGCAGGCCTTGATGGGCCCACCGTTCGAACCCCTTGCTTCGTCCAGCCTACGCTACTTGACCTTAAAGATGGCCTTTTTGTTGGCAATTACTTCGGCTCGCAGAGTGTCTGAAATTGCAGCTTTGTCCATGAGGAGTGATCTCTGCGTCTTCTATCCAGACCGGGTTGTTTTACGCCTAGACCCAGCCTTTGTGCCCAAAGTGAACACTCGTTTTCATCGAGCCCAAGAACTCGTATTGCCTAATTTCTGCCCGAACCCTCGTCACCCTGCTGAGAGGCGATGGCATACGTTGGATGTCCGACGGGCATTGAGAAGATATCTTAAAAGGACTTCCTCTTTTCGCAAGACCGAGGCGCTGCTGGTGTCTTTCCTTCCCTCCTCCTTGGGTCAGAAGGTTTCCTCAACTACAGTAGGCAGGTGGCTCAAAGCCTGTATATCTAAGGCATATGAATTGAGGGAGGCCCCTGTCCCGGGTGGTATAATGCCCCATTCTACTCGTAGCGCCGCAACCTCAGCGGCTTGGGCTACCCAGGCTTCAGTAGATGATATTTGCCGGGCGGCCACATGGTCTTCCCTTTCTTCCTTTGTAAGTCACTATAGGCTAGATAAGTTTGCCTCTGCGGATGCTGCCTTTGGCAGAAGGGTGTTACAGGCTGTAATCTCTCCACAAGGCCAGTCTTCGGCTTAGTTCCCTCCCTTTTTTCCTACAACTTGGGTATGTCCCGGTCTAAGGAGTGTCTGAACAGCGAGGAGGAAAATGGTCGTTGCTTACCTGAACAACCCTTTTATCCTCGCTGTGAAGACACTCCGTCCCTCCCTGATCTTCGCCGGGTCTGGCCTTGGTGGGGGTCTGCTTTTCTTTCCCTCTGTAGCTGTTTGCTTCCTGTTCGGCTATCTGGTGGTGTGTCTTCGTGACAGTCCTAATGCTCTTGGACCAAGTGTCTTCGTGAAAAGTCTGAGGAAGGAGCAGGAAGTGAGGTGGATCCAGCTCCAGAGGGATTTTGATTGACACTCAGCTGTGCAAATAGGAGTGATATATACCCAGTCTAAGGAGTGTCTTCACAGCGAGGATAAAAGGGTCATTCAGGTAAGCAACGACCATTTTTGGCCTTTTTCAGGCCTTTTTAAAGCCCATTTTTGAGGCTTTTTTCAGCCTGTTTTTGAGGCTTTTCTGGCCCATTTGGGGGCTTTTTTGGCTCATTTTCAAGGCTTTTTTCAGTTTGTTTTTGGGGCCGTTTTTGAGGCTTTTTTGTGCCTGTTTTCAGGGCTTCTTTTCAGTCCATTTTGAGGCTTTTTAGCCCATTTTTTGGGGAAAAAAATGGGCCAAAAAGCCTCAGAAATGGGCCAAAAAAACCCTCGAAAATGGCCCCCAAAAGCCCACAACACAGGCCGAAAATAGCCTCGAAAATGGATAGAGAAAAGCCCCGGAAAAGGGCCCAAAAAAAGGGAGGCCAAAAACCTTTTTTGTTGTTTTTCTCTTCTAAATTTAGGCGCGTCTTATAGTCAGGTGCATCTTATAGTCCGAAAAATATGGTATGTGTCATCATCATCATCATTTTAGCCATTGTCTATCCACTGTAGGATGAAGGCCTCTTCTGCATGTTTCCAACCCATATGGTCCTGATCTTGGTTTTTCAAATTTACAGCGTGGGCATGGTATGAATTCATTGCTGAAAAACTATGAGGCAATCTGTGCATTACTTCTATTGAAGGATTAATACATACTAAAGATTTGATTCATGCTATTTACTTAACCATTGCAAAATTATAGAAGACTACAGAATAGAATACAATATGGAGACTTTATTTAGCATTATGGGAGAAAGATTTGTGAGAAAATAATCAATGTATGGAACAGGAGTACTTTTAAAAGGAATTAATGATAGCACTTTTAAAAACATATATTTAACACTATAGTTAATTAATTAAATCTATCATTAGATCATATTTTAGTGGTATTAGCAATTAGATATTGACTATTTTATATTGACTAATAATCAGCTAATAGTGACTTCATCTCTTAAAAATTCAATAAACTATATTTAGTATTTTTTAGATTTAATCCTATCTTTGAGTCTTAAAATTTGATATATAGCAATGGTGATTAAATGATTGAATATGTTCTAAAGGGAATCACATATAAGAAAAACATTTTATATTTGATTTTTTAAAATGTTATTATGAAGAAACTCATGTTTAATTCCATAGTTGCTATGGCTTGACTTTCAAATTGTGAAAGCATTGTGATTAACACCAGCTGTCTGCAATTACTGTAAGTTCGAATCTCACCAGGCTCAAGGTTGACTCAGCCTTCCATCCTTTCTAAGGCAGGTAAAATGAGGACCCAGTTTGTGGGGGCAATAAGCTGACTTTGTATAAATATACAAAAGTATGAAGGCTATTGCTTAACGCATTGTAAGCCGCCCTGAGTCTCCGGAGAAGGGCGGCATATAAATCAAAAAAATTTTTAAAAAAAATATTATTGCAATATGTATTTATTTTACATTACACATATTTGTACATAATACTCTCAATTTTTACAGAAGCCCCTCAAATTGTTCCAGTATAACTCTGAAATTCTCTCCCTCTCTTGCCTAACATTTGCAGAGCACAGTTAATAGAATGCATAATAGTGAAATTATAAATAAACCTTTTTCTCTTTGCCTGTGAAAGAAGAGGTCCCTGTGGTCTCTATATTGAATAAATTTGCATATACTTAAAGGCAATATTCTAGGAATGATTATTCTTCATCAATAAAAGTAATTTTCTCCAACTGATTGATAACTTCCTTGTTGTCAGAAGTCCTTATTTAGTTAAGAGATTTTGTATGACTTTGCTTAATCAATTTGATAACATTGTAAATGTTGTAAGACATGAAAAAAGTTTCTATTTTTTAGTTCTTATTGAAAAATAGCATGGAAAAATCTACATCTAATTCAACACATTATACATTTTTAATATACTTAATCCAAAGTATAAGGCTCTTGTGGTGTATCTTTGAAAATACTTTTTTGCAAGTGTTTTGGCTTACAATCATGACATAATGAAGACCAAGCACAAATCCAGTGTCAAAGCAGCAGTGCTCTCCAGACTTACAGTGGGCTTCTACTAGTAACAATATGATGAAATGTATTAGTTTCTATGCAGTGTTACGGCATCAGGATTCAAATTTCATCTTTTCTTCCATGTAAACTGAGTTTTTTGTGGATGCTAAATACCTTGGCAATTTTAAAAGTTTAATATTTGACTTCCACATCTATCATTCATTCTAGAAGATTTAATTAGATCCTTTTGTTTAGCACAAACAGCTATCTTCCTAAATTATCCATTTATCTGGCTGACCTTTGTGATAGTAATAATAAATGTGGCCACGTGCCTTGGACAGTTTGATTGGATTTACTTCTTCCCATGGAGGACAGTACAACAAGCCCTAGTCCCAGTATGCAAAAGAAGAGTATTCAAAAGACCTTGCCATTTTTTTCTTAAATATGCTTTTTTTCAGAATTTGATACTTATGGTAGGAAGGAAAGAACTGGGAGAAAAAGTTGGATGTTGAAGACTATCGCAAAACATGTTGACATTTTTTCATCTTCATTTCTCCCCAAGCAGGAATTTAAAGTCCAAGGGTTTGGAAAGCATCTCGCAGGTCATCAATTTCATAAAGAGGCTGTGAATCAAGGAGAAATAAGTGATCCAAAAGCAATTGTGAGAATATGAGACAAGATAACAAATAAGGACAGTAATAAAGAAAACATCAAGAAAATATAGGAAAAACTGGGAAGTGGAGGGAAGGGTATGAATGAGAAATGAAGGCAACAGAAGAGAAGAGCAAATAGAGGGCAGTGATTCTGCTTACACTGAGGAGAAGTAGGGAATGACAAGTAAGAGAAGAGCAGCAAAGAAGAAGAAGGAAGTTTAGTGTCAGATCCCTAAAAGTGATACTGCCATTCAATTGGGAGAATGGGTGACCTTGGATTCAATTTATTAGCATTGCCTGTGCCAACAGAACTCCTTACCTTTGGGGCAGGAGTGAAAGAGCCTTGGTAGTACAGTGGTCTAAAGCACCCTGTTATTAAGACCAGCTGCCTGCAGTTACTGCAGGTTCGAATCTCGCCAGGCTCAAGGTTGACTCAGCCTTCCATCCTTTCTAAGGTAGGTAAATTGAGGACCCAGTTGTGGGGGCAATAAGCTGACTTTGTATAAATATACAAAAGGATGAAGGCTATTGCTTAGCGCTTTGTAAGCCGCCCTGAGTCTCCGGAGAAGGGCGGCATATAAATCAAATTAAAAAAAAAAAAGTAAAATCTGTTACTACCGGTTCTGTGGGCATGGCTTGGTGGTGGGGGTAATGTGACTGGGTGGGTGTGGTCAAGTGTTTTTTAAAAAAACTTCAAAGCATTTTTTCTAATGCTTTGAAAAGCCTCTCTGCCAATCAGGAACTCAGCTGGGATCGTCAGAGAGGCTTTTAAAAAAATGCCTCTCTGCCGATCAGGGAACTCAGCTGGGATCGTCAGAGACTTTTCAAAGCATTTTTTTTACAACCTCTTCTGCAAGAGGTTGCAGAAAAAAATGCTTTGAAAAGCTTCTGATGATCCCAGCTGAGCCGCGTGATCATCAGAGGCTTTTTTTTTTACTTTTAAAAGCATTTTTTCATTGGAAGAGGTTGTAGAAAAAGTGCTTTTAAAAGTTTTTTAAAAAGCCTCTGATCATGCAGCTCAGCTGGGCATGGTGGGGGGGGGGCACAGGGATTTTTGTTACCTGTTCTCCGAACCACCCGCCGCCATCGCTACCGGATCAGGCGATCTGGTCCGAACCAGGAGCATTTCACCCCTGCTTTGGGGGATGTTTAGGACGGCCATGAGGGCTGTTTCACTTTAAAGGATAATGGAGGATAGCAATGGGAATGCATGCTTATCCGGTTCTCAGGGCAGCTGGTAAAGAAAATTCTTCACACTTGTGTATTGGCTAAAATCTGCATTCTGGCTAAAGGGAGGGGTCTCTACTACTTTAATCCTACCTGTCTTGCCTAAGGGTATTCAGATGTTGCTTTGAATCCATTGCTGTCAATTCTGCTTAATAAAAGGTTCCTTTTGAAATACTACGTTTCAACTTTCTTAAGTTAGAAGGAGAGACAATCCTTACACTCAGTGAGAGAAGTAAATGCTCACCAAAAGGATACGCCGGAGTTGTCTGGTAAGACGCACAGAATTTTCATGAAGTCCTTCCCAGGCTTTGAAGGTTTTTTTGCGGTTTTCCACAAAGGTGTTCCAGCAGTAAAAATAGTCTGATAAGAAAGAGCCATGAAACATTCAAACTCAGTTTGATATCTCCTAAGGCTGTGCAAATCTTTTGAAAGAGTTGCTTTGAGAATTCATGGGAGTATGTATAAATCATCTCTTTTGAAATAAAGCAACTCTGTCTTCACTGGCTCACTTGACTCTTTTAGAAGTTGTTCCCACCTGTCTCCCCATGCTAATCTTTTGAAGGATTTGTACAGCCGTTATATTCATCTGAATATATATTCATACAATTAGTTTATTTTGCTTCAAGTTCATAATGCAGATATTCCCTAAATGTAATTGTATGATATTACCTTTCTTTGTCTAATAATCAGCAGAATTTAATCTGGATTAAACTAAATTATATTAATTGGAGGGAGAACAATTTTCAAGACCTAATCCCAAGCAAAAGCCTGATGGCAATCAATCAAGTGGTAAGAAAGAAGGGGAATAAAGATACAAAACAAGAGATGTACGAAGCAAACACAGTGTCAGCCAAACAGGACTCCAATACTATACATTAATGCTCAAAGTATGAGGAACAAACAAGGCCAACTAGAAATCTTTGTACATGGGGACAAGAATGACATTGTTGCCATTACTGAAGCTTGGTGGAATAAAACCCATGTTTGGAACATATTGCTAGAAGAATTTAAACTGTTCAACAGAAACAGACCTAACAGAAAAGGAAGCAAAGTTGCATTACTACACCTGTACAGAAATGCAAAAAAACAAAGATGAAAACCTTGGATGCATTTGGGTTATTATAGAAGGAAACAGAAATGACACTGCCATAAATGTATGTTACAGACTATCCAATGAAACAGGCAATAGATGAACCTTTTGCTAATAAGTTAGCTAAGGTGTGCCAGAGGCACACTGCAATAGTATTGGGGGACTCTAACTACCCTGACATCAACTGGGAGACAAACTTTGCACCAAATGGGAGCTCAAACAGGTACCTGACAAACGTTGCAGACAACACTGTCACCCAAACGATAGAGGAAGGAACTGGAAGGTCAGCTATACTGGACTTTATTCTTACTAACAGAGATTAAATGATAATAGGGGGTTGAAGTTATGGGAACTTTGGGAGAGGGTGACCATGTCATATTGAAATTCAACATACTTCAGGCACAAGTAATAGAACAAAGTCTAAGTAGTGTACTTGGACTTTAAGAAAGCTGATTTCAACAAACTTAAAGCTCAGGAATGATTCCATGGATGGAAATCTCAAAGAGAAAACATTTCTAGAAGCTTGGGAAACTCTGAAATATGAAATTATAAAAGCCCAGTCTAGCCCAATATCACCAAGAAAGAAAAATAAGAGATCCCCCAGATGAAACCAGCATAGATTCATAAAGAAGTCTCTAACTAAACTGATAGACAAAAAGGACAAGTATAAAAAAATGGAAAGAGGGACAAATAATTAAGCAGAATACCAGCAAATAGTCTGAATCTGCAAAGATGAAGTGAGGAAATCTAATAATGAAAGCTCAGAATGAATTAAGACTTGCAAGAAATATCAAAAATAATAAAAGTTTCTTTCAACATATAAGAAACAATTTAAAAAGACAAAGAAATGATCAGTCCACTAATGAGAGATGATGGTAAGGAAGTAACGGGCTGTAGAGAGAAATCAGAGCTGCTAAATTCATTCTTTGTATCTGTTTTCATACAAAAAGATAATACAGCCCAACCAAGTTTCTTTCAACATGTCAAAAAGAAAAAACATTGGTCTGCTAAAGGGAGAAGGTGGTAAGAAGATGAGGCATAGCAGGGAGAAAAAAACCTGTTTAATTTATTTTTTGCATCTGTCTTTAAACAAAAGGAAAAAAACAGTCCAATCTAATAAAAGCAATACTGTAAAAGACAGATTAGAATATAAATCAAAATAGGCAAGACAACAATAAGAAAAGACTTATCCACTACTATAAACGAATTCAAATCATCAGGACCAGATGGATTACATCCCCTTTCAAACTCTACATATGCCTACAGTTACAACACAATGATGTGTGGAATGTGTTTATTCCATAAATGGATACTGTGTGATATTCAGTATGTGTTTGGGAGGCACCATTAATAGTACTTATAGAGCACCAGTTCTCTTTGGGGCAGGGAGAGTAGTACAACTGTGTATCAAAAATTAAATAAGATCCCAGGTGCCTTAGCAGGTATTGGAAAACACCATGTAAGTTTAAATAGTGATATGAACATCGCACAAAAAAGGAAAAATAAATAAATATAAAAATTGTTGACAATGTACAGTATTGCTAAAATCTTGTAGTATCATAGTCGTTTTGCTGCTGAGATCTCTTAAAATTTTGGCCTTGCTTTTGAAATTTCATGAGATTTCAGTCAAATAGACAAAATTTGACAAGAAGTCATCTTTCAATTCTACAACAATTTTCAATTATTTTAGTTTTTAATTTTACAGTTCCATGGATTTTGTAAGGAATTATCACAGATGCCATAATGCTGACTCTTCCTTGACAGCATAAGTGGTCCAATCTTTTCAGTTTGCCAGGGCAGCATTAAGTGAAGAGGAATTGTCCTGGGCCTCATATAAAATATATATAACATAGTTAATGTATAGGTAATATAATGTGGCTCATGGCCTGTGGCTGGACATGTCTGCTTTACAGTGTTGGCTATATTTTGCAATCACAATTATTTATTATTCTAGATGCCATCATTCTGCAGTATCTTACCTTTGAATGTCATGATGGCAATCTGAGCTCCTGCACGGTGTAGACGTCTTAACCCTTCAGGCTCAGCATTGCGTTCCTCACAGAAGTACAAACGGGCAGCGAAAATTCGCAGCGTCAGGTTAGGATATGCACACAAGAAGTCAGCCACATGCCGGGCACAATCGTAACATGGACTCCAGGAGGTGAACCAAGTAATACGATAGCAGTGCCTTGGATCCAGATCCCAAGTGGAAATGTAACGCAGGAAGAGAATTTCAACATGGCAACCTGACTAAATAGCAATGGTACAGAAAAACTGGGATATGAGCATCATACAATGAAAGGCAGAGCCTATAAAAAAAAAGGTATTTTTTTTTTATAAACTCAATCCTGATCAGGATTGAGTTGCTCAATCTACAGATCAGGATTGAGTTGCTCAATTTACAGATCAGGACTGAGTTGCTCAATTTACAAATAAAAATTGTATGATCAGGAGTAACACATTTTCTTAGATGACATGTCAAGTTGCTAGTGAAAAGTTATATATCTGATTGTTTTCCTCCTATATCCACACTACTTCATACATGGAAATAATATCAAGCCAAAGAATGAATCTATCTATCTATCTATCTATCTATCTATCTATCTATCTATCTATCTATCTATCTATCTATCGCAGTTAAGTGTATAATATTTCTGAGTGGACAACAGATTTTAATTTAACACACTCCAGGTATTGTTTTGCCATTTATAAATTGTATTGCTGATCCTTAGCTGACAATATTGGGAAGATATTTAGATAATTGGCAGAGAAAATGAAATAATGGGTGATGAAGGTGCACTTTTGGGGTGATAAATTAATCAGGAGGTCATTTCAAATAAGATTTCTGCATATATATGATTTAAGTTCCTGAGCTTCTTTTAACCTTTTAGTTATCTGTCTTGTTTTTATACATCATGCATCTAGTCCCATTACACTGATCATGCTGGCATTGAGATCCTTCCAGACACAATAATTCCTAGAATTATCAGTTAAAAGGCAGCTATTTCATTTTTCCCTCAATAGGTTTTTGATAGCAGGAAAAAGATACCCTTTAGAAGCTATGAATGAGGTCAAATAGGTAATTCTATTTATTTATTTATTTATTTATTTTATGTGATTTGTATGCCGCCCTATCTCCGTAGACTCAGGGAGGCTCACAACAGTAAAAACAAACCCAATGAAACATAAAATACATACAAAATACATAAATGTATAAATATAAATTTAAAACATATAAAAATCCATTAAAATAATCAAACCCCCTCAGTCCAGGTTGGGTGATGTAAACAGCCATGTTTTTAATTCACGGCAGAAGGTGCGAAGGTCAGGAGCCAACCGAAGCCCCAGGGGAAGTTGATTCCAAAGAGTGGGCGCACCCACAGAGAAAGCTCTGTCCCTGGGGGTCGCCAGCCGGCATTGTCTAGCCGACGGCACCCGGAGAAGCCCTCCCTGTGAGAACGTACCGGGCGATGGGAAGCTGTTGCTGGCTGCAGATGGTCCAACAAATATCCTGGGCCTAAGCCATATAGGGCTTTATAGGTCATCACCAGCACCTTGAATCTCACCCGGAGGGCAACTGATAACCAATGCAAGTCGCGCAGGAGAGGTGTAATGTGGGAGTATCAGGACCTTCCCATCACAATCTGCGCGGCCGCATTCTGCACCAGCTGAAGCCTCCGAGTGGTCCTCAAAGGCAGCCCCAGGTAGAGAGCATTACAGTAGTCAAGACGGGAGGTGACTAGCGCATGAGTAACTGTGCGTAGAGCATCTTGGTCCAAATAGGGATGTAACTATTTGGCAATTTTAAGGAATTTTAAGGTAATTTTAAGGAAAACTAAAACTGACTGTAGCTAAAGATAGATCTTTGGTCTATTGGTCCTATGACATTTATTGGGGATATTTTTTTCTACTCTTAATATTCAGTCTGAATCTGGATTTCTGTAATTTAAATCCATTACTCTGCATTCTGCAAGGAGAGAAAAGAGGTAGTGATCTTCAATATGATATTCTTTAAAATATTTGACTAATGTGTGCTACTCCCCCACCTGACTTTTTTTTCAAAGCTAACTTATCTAAGGCCATCATTTTTTCCCCCATTAGTCTTAAAAGTCATCCTTGTCAGAGGTGGGTTTCAGCAGGTTCTGACCAGTTCTGGAGAACCGGTAGTGGAAATTTTGAGTAGTTTGGAGAACCAGTAGTAAAAATTCTGACTGGCCCCGCCCCCATCTATTCTCTGCCTCCCAAGTCTCAGCTGATTGGGAGGAACTGGGGATTTTGCAGTAACCTTCCCCTGGAATGGGGTGGGAATGGAGATTTTACAGTATCCTTCCCCTGCCACACCCACCAAGCCACACCCACCAAGCCATGCCACACCTACCAAGCCACACCCACAGAACCGGTAGTAAAAATTTTTGAAACCCAGCACTGATCCTTGTTGCTCTTCACCAATCATGTTTTAATTTCCCTGAATCTTTAAAGTGTAGTACTAGACTAGGATATAGTATTCGAGATGAAATCTGAATCAAGCAGAATAAAATAGAACAATTTCTTCTGATTTAGATATTACAGATATACTTAGGTTGATGGAATCTAAAACTACATTTCTCCTTTTTGCAACTGTATCATATTTATTTGCTGCTATCTCAAATTCTTAATAAGAGCCATATTGTTCTGCAGTTATACCACATTGCTTAGTGGGACGATCGAGCACTTTGTATGTGTTATGGCATTCTATTAAGAAACAAGGATGGACATCTTTAACAAAACTTAAGGTCAGGCATTTGCTAGTGCATAAAACTCTATGGGTCTTAATTATATAACTTGCTAATTCGTTTAGGTTAGCATAAATAACTTGCAAGTATGCAAATTTGAAATTTAGGATAGAAAACAACTGTTTTTCAGATCTTAGCAGAGGGGCCAACAAATTGGACTGATAAAAAAAAGAGGAGAAATCTAGGTAATAGAAAATATCAGGATGGACCAACCTAAGGCCATAGAAAATTTGGTGGATCAAAAAGACTGGACAATCACAAGCCAAAATCATTGTAATGTACATTGTACTCGAAGCACCTTGACCAATTAGGAATAGGATAGGCAGAACCTGAAAAGATATAAAAACATCCACTGCAAGATGTTAGGCTTTTAGAAGGAACTATTCTACTATCTTGAAATCAAATTCTCTTTCTTTCACAATTGCTTCTACAATCTTTAGGTATCTGCCACCAAGTTCTATGTAATAGAACTTCATTCTTGCCTTCCTTCTTTGTAGGCTGTCTTTGCTATTGAAATAAAGTGTTAAAATCTATCTCAGTCTTTTGTAAAATGAGGGAACGTGGGATAGCACTCTTCAAATATCTTAAAGGAATTCATGAGAAGATTGTAATGAAATCTGTTCTCTGTCTTTCCAAAGTGGATTAAGGAAAACACTTTAATTGGTTAATGGAAACCTATTACACAAATGAAAGGGTCACCTGGAAACATTGGAGAGGAAAGCAGAATGTTTCTAGAACCAGCTTCACTTTTTTCCAAATACTGGGTAATGTTGGCACAGGAAATAATCATTCTCTCCAATGTTCCAAAAACCCACCAAAGGATTTTCAAAGCTCTCCTCACCAATCTATGTCATTATGATTTGCTGGTGGCCCCAGAGATGTGGTCTGTGCATGCACACCTATATACAAATAGCTGCCTTGAACAAATGCTATGCTTTAGCATTTCAAGAACTCACTCAGATGTGCTTTGTGAAGCATTGCTTTTCTCTTTGCACAGCCCTTTCATTGATTCACAGGAAGACTAGTATTTGAATAAGCAAAATGATGTACTGTAATAAAATATGCAAGAACCCAGAGCTACCTGACCACATGGAGTCCAAGACAGCTTTTTCCCTTGCTTTCACTTTTTGTAGGCCTCTACTAGAAAAGACCCAATGGGAGCTAAATGTGTATCCCTTTACCTTATTACGCAGATATCCAAAATCGAGGGAGCAGGATGTGGCACTATTCCGCTGTTTTACTACATAACAAAGATAAGTTTCATGACGGCCTTTAGCCCATCTCATGTTCTTGAAATGGTAGAGAAATTTCTTTTGCTTCATTAGAAGACTGCAGGGAGGCAGGAACATTAAGAAAATTAATAGCACATATTTATAAATGAAGATCAATATGGGGGAGCCACAGGACAAATCAAGAACTTGACCAAAGATGAGATTAAAAATGAGGAACTCAGAAGCAGATAGTCAACTAAAGTATTATCATTTTGTGCTAGGCAAAAGAATATACTCTATATATTCAAGCATATAACATACAAAAAAAAAAAAGACAGAAGAAAATCAATGGATATAGTTAATTTAGCATATTTAGCATGACAAGATCAACATATTCCCCTGTAAGTTTTGGAACTTTTTTCTATAGTTCCTTTTTGTCTTACATGATTAATGAATCAGGTTGTCATTGGCACTGACTTGATGACACATAATTCATCCACCCATCCATCCATCCACCCATCCATCCATCCACCCACCCACCCACCCACAATACTGTGGATATCAGTATATTCACAGGGTAACAGTCCTTACATGTGTTTTTTAAGATTTCTCCATCACATTTTGCCATCAATTTTATTTTAAAAGGATGCTTTCTGGCCCATTCCATCCTTGTATGTCTTTTTCTACATCCCCATATGGCGTTTTAGTCAGAGTATACCAATTTATTTGGGAGTGGCCCCACAAATGACATTCAGGCAGCAAAACAGTTTGCAGTTTGCAGGAGGAAATACAGAGGAGGACTATATTAACTTTAATATAGAAAGTCTGTAGCCAAAACAGTGACGTGTGGCTAAAAATGTGAGGCAACCCTGGTTAGGATCTCTCAATTCTTCATTTTAGTCAACATTCACATCTCAATAGGACCAACTTATTAAAATCATCTAAAACCCAAACTGACAAATAAAGTTTATTACAGATGTTACATGCTCCAACAGAAAGCCGTTATCTCTGACCAGTGTTGGGATTCAATTTTTTTTACTACCGGTTCTGTGGGCATGGTTGGTGGTCATGTGGCTTGGTGGTCATGTGATTGGGTGGGTATGGCCAGCTTGACGTCACTCACGTCAAAGGGTGCCTTGTCTGGCCTGGCCTCGCCTCAACGAGATACAATATCCCTATCTATTTACTACTACTGAACATCCAAAATACATTATTTAATCCTATGTATGTATGCCATATGTGTACATACATATTACATAGTATAGTGTGTGTATAGGCACACAAAAAGATACATTATCTACTATATACACTGTATATATACATATACACACACATTCAACCTCACTTATTGCATTTGGAAAAATATACCCAGAGTCCACTTTCTGCCATACATTTAGCTATAACTTCTGTACATTAGAACATTACACACCAGAGGTGGGATTCACTTACCTTCCGTACCGGTTCGCAAGTGTGAGTGTGTGCGCACGCTTCTCTTGCATGTGCCACCTCTGCACATGTGCATGTCCTTCTGCGCATGCGCAGTAGTTGCGCATTATGTCCGGGCGGGTGGACAGAGCCTCCCGCAGTTGCCGCTACTGGTTCACGTGATCCAGAGACAACCCGCTGAATCCCACCACTGTTACACATGCCTTCAGATGTTCTTCCCTAGCCTGCACATGACTGTTAGAGCCAAGAGATGTCATGGATTGAGTAAAATATGGTGAAACTCACTTAACAACGCTCTTGCTTAGTAACCAAAATTTTGGGCTTTCTTTCTTTCTTTCTTTCTTTCTTTCTTTCTTTCTTTCTTTCTTTCTTTCTTTCTTTCTTTCTTTCTTTCTTTCTTTCTTTCTCTCTCCCTTCTCTCTCTCTCTTTCTTTTCTCTCTCTCTCACTCTCTCTCTCCCCCTTCCCTTCCCCTTCCATCTCTCCTTCTAAGGCTAGGATACCCATCCGAAACAAAAACTCCTTTGGATGAAGCCATTGCCATCAGACTTATTCAACCCAAGACACGCACACACACATGCACACACACACATACATGTGCAGGCACTCAAACAAACTTCTGTGATGGTAAGCTGCAAAGTGCAAACTAATGAAAACTCTTCTTTTTTTGCAATGCTTGTTTTTCTCAGTCCCAGCCCCCAAGCCTCTCCCAATGTTTTCCTCTCTCTCCTCACAGCACAGGGCTGTAAGGGGGGAAACCTTAGGTGCTATCAAAGAGGATCCTGGGTGCTGTACTCTAGGGAAATGAGAAAGGGAGCTGCCAGCAGGAGGGAAAGAGGAACAGAGGAACAGCAGGCAAAGAAAAAAAGAGGCTTCCTTCCCTCATGCTGGCTGCTCTGTTTCCCCTTCCCATTAAAGAGGATCCTGGGCACTGCACTCAATGGGGAAATGAGAAAGTCAGTCACTCACCCAGACAGACCAGGGCAGCTCAGTTGGGCCACTCGGATGCAGCTGAAGGCAGGCAAGTTGGCTGGCCCTCAGAGACCATGTGGTCGAGGCAAGTGAGGGAGCCAGATGGAGAGCAGCAGCAGCTATGCCAGGCGAGCAGACGAGATGAGGAGTGACTGGGCGGGGTGGGCGGGGCGGGGCCAGCCAGAATTTTTACTACCGGTTCGCCTGAACCGCCCTGAACTGGCTGAATCCCATCACTGTCTCTGACCCTGTCCTAAGAGTCAAGAAGGTTCTTTCCCTATCCTTCCCATCCTAGGTAGAGACTCAAAGAGAAAGCCTAAGGATGTCAGTCTTCTGATTAGGACAGGGTCCTCAAACTTTTTAAACAGGGGGCCAATTCATGGTCCCTTAGGCTGTTGGGGGGCCAGACCAGCTGGAGTGTGTGGCTATGTGGTCATATGACTGGGCGTAGCTATGTGGTCATGTGACCTGGTGGGTGTGGCCAATTTAGCAGTCCATTAAACAATACACACAAATTAAACTTTAATTTGGTTTAATTAAAACACCCGCTCCTGGGGGTGTATTATTTGCTTTTGTTTGCATGTTGCTCTTTTGGTTGACTTTTCTTTTTACTAGATCATTTTTTTAAGTTGTTTAGGAGTCTAGTGGTCCACTTCAGGAAACTCAATTTTGCAGCAATTCTTCTCAGTCCCAGGGAGCTTACAATCAACAAGTAGAATAAACCAGGGAAAGCATTGCTTCTCCTTGTTTTGGGTGGATGGGAGGCAAGGGACTCGGCCCAAGAGCTGGGCCTCCTTAGAGAGGCAAAGGAGCAGGTTTATGTCTACTCCAGAATCTGGAAAAATGCACCCCTCAGCAGCAAGCTCCTGCACACTTGGGACTTTTCCCCAGCCAAGTCCTCCAACCAGTACAGGCTCCTTTTGCTCTCCCTCCACTGCTGCTCAGTGCCAGAACAGACAAGGAAAAGGGTGCTTCTCCTCTGGGCTTGATTCCTCTGCCCCCTCCCCAATAGCTCCCTTGCCAAGATAACATGTTTCATTGTGGCTGAAGCAGCAGCCATGAGACCCAGGCAAGCCCCTTCTGGCACAAGGGCCTCCTCTGCAGTAGTGGGATTCAAATCCCAGTGCTACGGTTCTCTATCAGTAGTGTGCAGGTGTGCAGGTGCACTTTGTGAGCGCACGGCACTTTTGCGCATGCACAGAGCATTTTTGATGACATCTGGGTGGGTGGGTGGAACCTCCCACTGCTATCACTACCAGTTTGCCCGGACTGGGGTGAACCAGTAGAAACCCACCCCTGCTCCTCTGCCTTCCTGGGCTGAGCTAGACTACCAAGCTACTGCCTACCTGCCCCCTTAATTGGTGGGGGAAGGGAAAATGAGGAATTACTAGACTGGCCTGCCTCTCTCTCCCCCTCCCCGCCCCCAATTTGGCTATTGAAATTAAGACTGGCTTCCCCTCAGCCCCACTCTTGATCGGGGAGCCCATAGCCTCAATCTGAAATTTACGAAGAGGGATAGGGTTGACGTGCTCGCATATTCCAATTAAGAAAACTTAAAATGCTGCTTTTTCAGAATGCTGCACCAAAACCATTTTCTTCAGTGGGGAGGAGAAAAACCACCCTTAGTGCAGGGCTCCTGCTCCTGCTGCCAACATGCAAGCCCATCCACAGCAGAGGCAACATTCACAGGGCCAGAGGTTGCGTTTTTTTTCCTATGGTGACATTGTCTTGCTGCCACCTGACAGGTGAAATAGGGACGACGGGCCCTCTTTATCGCAAAGGCCTCCTGGAAGGGATCTGGCCACTCCAACTCCCCTTCAACGTGCTTCCCAGGGGCAGATATTAAATTCTGCCTGCCCCACCGGAACTGGGCAGCGAAGGGCGAGCCTCCTGAGCAAGGCAGGAAGCGGCGGCGGTGGTATTCGGGGCAGGGGATTCGGCTCATGAGAAGTGCTTCAGGAAAGAGCCAGAGAGCATTCCGGGAAGCCTCGCTAGCTCTCCCACTGCCACCATCATCCTGTCCAAAGTGCCATCGCGAGCATCCCAAGCAAGGCAGGGAGTGGTGGCAGCAGCATTCAGGACAGAGGATTTGGCTTCAGGGAAGAGCCAAGGAGGGTTCTGATGCTGCCAACTCCCACGCACTCCCCTCCCCATTCATGTCAGTCCACCCTCCGGCATTGCTGCAGGTGCTCCCCCGCCCACCCATGCCCTTTGGCCAATCGCAATGGGCATGTGTCTCCCTTCCCTGTGTGGAGCATGTTCCCCTCACACACCCAACTGCAGCAGTGGGTGCACGAGAGGGATGCTTCACCAGCACACCCTGCAGGAAGTGTGGGACAGTGCAGCATGCAGGGAACCATCTGCTACCAGGCCCAACACGTGGTGCCTGTCCGGGCTGCCCTGAAACGTGGAGGGGCATGGGGTAGGAAGTGGCACCCATCCCAAGGCTGGAGGAAGAGGGCCTTTGAGCCCCAGGCACCAGTTTGGGCAGCACCTTGCTGACTCATCTGCTCGTGTAGAGGGAAGTCCCACTATCCCCAAGCCGCGCCTTCCCGGAACGCCAGCCAAGCAGAGAATTTGGCTGTAATCCTCAGCTTGGAATGGAGATGTGGCAGGGGGGCTGCAAGATAGAAGGCTGCCTTCAGTCCAGGGAAGGGACCACAGCCTCAGGAGCATTGTCTGAAGGAGCTGCGTCGGACAGGCAGCGCCCCGAAAGCGCTCTGGAGCTACTACCTCACAGGGCAGGGCAGGGCAGGGCTTGGCTCTCCCTTGTGAGCAATTCCAGTGAAGGAGGCACATCATCAGGGGTCTCTACCCCTGGCAGCTCCTGGGTAGCAACTCTGCCACTTCGGACAGGATGACGGCTCAGTGGACCCACCCAGCCCAAAGGAGGCAAAGTGGCCAGTTAAAAAGGCCAAGTAGATTTGGTAAAGCATGACCAGGCCCAGCAGGCATTAAATGGCCACCACAATTGGGGAAAACCAGATCCCCATCGGAGTCTTGGCTGCCCAGGTCCAGCAGAGATGAGGGTGAAGGCATGTGATTCTGGCTGGGCTTGGGCAGCCATAGCGCTGATGGAGATTGAGCTTTCCCCATGCCTGGTGCTCCAGGTAGTGATGGCAGAGGCCTAATGGACTTGCATGAACTGCTGGCAGCCTCGGTTGTGCCAGACCTATGAAGGGGCCAAGAAGATGACCAACAACTACCTGCTTTTCAACCACAAGCCAAAAGAGACAGGATGGAATAGGCAACCGTCGCCTCACACCCTCCTCACCTTGTTTTTGCCCGCAGCGGCAGCAGTAACTGAAGACAGAGGCACAGGGGAGAGGCACGTGGTCTGGCTTGCTGGATGCATTGGACAGCTACCTGCGCTGTCCCAGCTATATGGGATGGAGCAGGCGCATCTGGTGGTCTGCATCACATGTCTTCCCCCCATTCTACCTGCTGCTGGTGCCAGTGCTGCCATCACCATATTTCTTGGAAGGCCAGCTGTGTAGTCCCTGCTGCTGGACACCTGCATCTTCGTGGATGCCACTCCTTTTGCCACTCCTTTTGCATCCTTGCCTGCTGTGGCTGCCAGCAGGTGGCGGGCAACCACCCATCACCCCCCACCCACTCGATGCTGCAGCAGTAAGGCACTTACTCCCTAGGCCCCGGTCAGGGTCACCATGGCTGATTGCCACTTGGAGAGCACTCCCTGAGTCCAGGGACGGATGGATGGAGGAAGCCTGAGCTAAGAAGCTGAGGCGGAGGGCACCATCTTCCCCTTCCGGGGCCTCAGCACATCCCATTTTTGGCCTCCCTGGTCCCCAGAAGCACTCTGCTGACTAAAAACTTTGGCCTTCCTTTCCAGTTTCAGCCTGCAGGGCTCGCAAAGGTAAGAACTGTGCTCCTCTGAAGGGTGGGGGCCGGTGGGTGGGCAGGGTGTTGTGGGTGGGGCAGACTCATGGTCCCACATGGGCTGGATTAATGGCTTTGGCGGGCCGTAGTTTGAGGATCCCTGGATTAGGATAAAAAGTAGAGGAAAAAGGGGACTTCCTCGTGGCTGCATAAATGCACATTCTTCCGTCTCTGAGTTGGCACAAAAGAATGTCAACACAATTGCACTCCCCCACTGAGTTTTACTGTGCTTCCAGAACAAGGCTGGTGAGGAGTGCCATTCTTAGAGACATAATGCAGGATGGTAATATAGAAATTAAAGAATCCATCAGTGTCCTTTTCTCTCACTTTGTGTTTGTTGGCAGAAAAACCAACCACCAGTCACTCAAAAGAAGGCATAGAAGGCAGTTACTCCATTGTCAATCAAAGTTCTGCAGAATATAAGGGCTGAGGATCCACAACTGTAGCATTCCCAAAGTATGACCATCTACCCCCCCCCCCATTTAAATACCTCCAGTAAAAAAAGAATTTACCGTCTGTCAGATCATTTGTCAGGGAATTGTGCAACTGGTGTCCAAATGGAGTCAGAGATGCTGACAAGAACCAGCAGTTTTATATAAATAAGTATATTTACAGTAAATAAGAGACAAAATGAGGAGCGTAGTCAGGTAAATCAACACATCAGGAACATCATCAGGTAAATCACAGAGAGCACACACAGCACACAGGACAAAAAGGTAGAAAACAAGGAAACTCCCCCTTTATTCTTATACAGCTCAGATTCCCTCATGCAATGGCCAGCTCTCTTTAACCAATTATCTATAACTGTGGGTTCTTACTCATTGTCTAATCCACTGCTCCAGCTATTAAATTTTTAATATCTTAACATTAACTGCCTCTGAGGGGGATCTGAGAGTTAGAGGGAGGAGCAACTGCCTGTGAGGGGGGGTCTGAGTGAATACAAAGAAAAAGCATTCTTTACTTTCTCACTTCACAGGAGTTAGAGGGAGGAGCAACTGCCTGTGAGGGGGGTCTGAGTGAGTACAGAGAAGAAAATGAATCAAAAATAGCAATAATATATTCAGGGTTAGTGCATTTGAGAATGTGATTTTATTCTATTTAAAAATGACCGGCTTAGTTCAGTGTAATACTTGTTTTGCAGCTGTCTTTCGCAGTACTCTTTTCAAATTTGGGTACTGTCCTCTTTGTAAACAAATTAGTAGTCTACGTGGACACATTACCTATCTAGAATCACTAATCTGTGCTCTCCAAGCAGAAATTAGGTGCCCAATTCAGCCATTCCACTCTATTGAGCTGCTATGCCATCAGTCCCCTCTACCACAAAGATCCTGCAGGAGAAGGGCAGTGTGGACAACCTTGGGATCTGGCAGGGTGAGAGCTGTGAACCATAAACACAAAGCTTTTGCTGTGTCCCAGCATAACAGATGCAGTGCCCTTGCTGACCTTAATAGAGACACTAAAGTGACAGGTCAAGGTAGTAGTGATACTGATAACTCAAATAAGCAGAGGATTGTGGTCCAAGATGAAGAACTTACTTTGGAAAGGGGAAAGTGTGAACCAGGTATTACACATCAGTCACACAAGAAGAGCACGGTATCCAAAAAGAGAAGCCACCTTCTGGTTGGTGATTCAATTGTAAGGGATGTAAATTTAGGAAAAGATATGGAGGTTTTGAAAGAGGTCAGGTGTCTGCCAGGTGCTATTGCCAGCAGAGACAAGAGATAGTCTCTAAGATAGTCAAGAATGCCAGTAAGGACTGTGATGTTCATGCTTCACATCTTGGCACAAATGATCTGTCCCAAAAGGATGTACTTTCTGTGCAGAATAATTTCCAGAGCTTGGGGTATGAACTTAGTAGTATAGGTTGTAGGCTTATCTTTTCAGAGGTTTTATTAGTATATAATGAACAAAAAGGAAAAGGCCAGTGTGTAGCAGAGTTTAATGTGTGGCTAAAGGAGTGGTGTAGAAGGGAAGGCTTTGGTTTTATTAGTCATGATGCCTGCAACTGGTCCAATGAAGAACTGTACAAAAGAGATGGATTGCATCCATCAAAGAAAGGGACTGAGTTACTTAGCAATAAATTCACAGATTTTCTGGATAAACATTTAAACTGAACAGTGGGGACAAAGAATTAATTGATACAGAACATTTCTGTCCCCAGCAATCCAAAATTAATAGGGCTATCAGTGCATGTAACATAGATGTCTGTGCGAGTAAGATTATCACCCCTGTTGTCAACCAAAACCAAGCATTTAATAGTGAGTGCCATACCATGTGCATTAATCAAACAGGTGGCAAGAAAGCAGGGGCAGTCAGGCACAACACAGGTTATGTAGACAGTAAACATAGGGTCAATCAAAATGGACTCAAATGTCTATACACCAATGCACAGTGTATGAGGAATAAACAGGGTGAATTAGAAATTCAAGTAAATGAGGGCAGATATGATATTGTTGCCATTACGGAAACTTGGTGGAATGAAACCCACAAATGGAACATACAGCTAGAGGGATATAAATTATTTAAAAGAAATAGACCAAATAAAAGAGGAGGTGGAGTTGCACGATATATAAGAAATAACTACATCTCTACAGAATTAAAGCACAACAATGATGAAAATTATCTTGAATGCATTTGGGTCAATATTAAAGAGGGGGGGAATGACATTGCCATAGGTCTATACTATAGGCCACCCAACCAAACAGAGGAAGTAGATGAACTTTTTGCTAGTCAGCTAACTAAGGTATGTAGGAATGGGTTTGTCAAAAACAGATTGTGCCAGACTAATCTTATTGCATTCTTTGACAAAGTGACAAAATTAGTGGACCAGAGGAATGCTGTCGATATAATTTACTTGGACTTTAGTAAATCATTTGATAAAGTAGAACATAACCAGGGGTGAAATGCTCCCGGTTCGGACCAGATTGCCCGATCCGGTAGCGATGGAGGTGGGTGGTTCGGAGAACCGGTAGCAAAAATCCCTCCCCCCCCCATGCCCAGCTGAGCCACGTGATCATCAGAGGCTTTTTTTCTTTTAAATGCCTCTGACGATCCAAGCTCTGATGATCCCAGCTGAGTTGCCTGATCAGCAATCAAGCAACTCAGCTGGGATTGTCAGAGCCTTTTGAAAGCATTTTTTTACCACCTCTCCATGCCCACCCAGTCACATTACCCCACCACCACCAAGCCATGCCCACAGAACCGGTAGTAACAAATTTTAGATTTCACCACTGACCATCACCTACTACTAGATAAAGTAGAAAAATGTGGGTTAGACAGTATCACCACCAGATGGATTCGTAACTGACTGACCAACCGCATTCAACGTGTAGTCCTCAATGGAACTGCATCTACATGGAGGGAAGTATGCAGTGGAGTATTCCAGGGCTCTGTTTTAGGCCCAATGCTCTTCAACATCTTCATCAATGACTTGGACGAGGGGATAGATGGTGAACTCATCAAATTTGCAGCTGACACCAAGCTGGCAGGAATAGCCAACACTCCAGAAGATAGACTCAAGATACAGAAGGATCTTGACAGACTTGAACATTGGGCGCTATCTAACAAAATGAAATTCAACTGAAAAAAGCAAGGTTCTACATTTAGGGAAGAAAAACAAAATGCACAGGTACTGTATATGTGGTACCTTGCTCAATAGTAGTAACTGTGAGAGGGATCTTGGAATCCTAGTGGACAACCATTTAGATATGAACCAGCAGTATGCAGCAGCTGCCAAAAAAGCCAACACAGTTCTGGGCTGCATAAACAGAGGAATATAATCAAGATCTAGTGAAGTGAAGTGTTAATACCACTTTATAATGCCTTGGTAAGGCCACACTTGGAATACTGCATTCAGTTTTGGTCACCATGATGTAAAAAAGATGTTGAGACTCTAGAAAGAGTGCAGAGAAGAGCAACAAAGATGATTAGGGGACTGGAGACTAAAACATATGAAGAACGGTTGCAGGAACTGGGTATGTCTAGTTTGATGAAGAGAAGGACTAGGGGAGACATGATAGCAGTGTTCCAGTATCTCAGGGGTTGCCACAAAGAAGAAGGAGTCAAACTATTCTTCAAAGCACCTGAGGGTAGAACAAGAAGCAATGGGTGGAAACTAATCAAGGAGAGACGCTATTTAGAACTAAGAAGAAATTTCCAAACGGTTAGAACAATTAATAAGTGGAACAACTTGCCTGCAGAAGTTGTGAATGCCCCAACACTGGAAATTTTTAAGAAGATGTTGAATAATCATTTGTCTGAAGTGGTGTAGGGTTTCCTGCCTGGGCAGGGGGTTGGACTAGAAGACCTCCAAGGTCCCTTCCAACTCTGTTATTCTATTCTATTATTATACTACTGTTGAGCAGTTCTTACTGTTAGGAAACATTTTCTATTGTCCAATGGAAAGAAGTATCCCAGCTGTTTGTAGGGTATAGCTGGAGCAAAAAACCTTTGCCAGGGCTTCCTTCCACATCACTTACTGACCTTGCTAGTAGCCACCAGGGTATTTATGTTTTGGCTTTTATTTTTATATATTCAAACCTCTGTTAACATTTATGTTCCCTTATGAAACTGACATTTTAAAACAACAGATCAATAGAGTTCCTCACACAATCTTGGTAG